CGCCCCACGGTCCGCCCCCCCCGCGTGAGTCATCCCCGGCTCCCCACGAGACTTACTTGTGCCGGCCACGCGATCGGGCCTGAGTTATTCACAGCTTTCCCTTTCCTACGGAATAGCCGCGTGCTCAAAGGGGTTGTTTGCCCCCGCGAGCGGCGGCCGCGGCGCCTTCATCGAGAATTTAGGCTGTTTTCTTCGAAACTCATTTAACCCCCGACGACGACGCGGGGTCTTTTGATGGGCGGCGGCGGCGGCGCGGTGCAGGTGCGGCAAAGCAAACATATCGAACGGCAGGGACATGTAGGGAGGGATGGGCGGCCCGTCTAATGAGGCACCTTTGTGGCGAACTGCTGCATCACAGGCGAGCCTAGACTGAGCGTAGCAAGAGGTGCGTGCCGCCAGCCGATCAGAGACACTTGATTCGAGTTAACTCTCTTGATTCAATGCAACCTCTCTAGACGATACTCTATAAAACTCAACAGTTTACGTTGTATGTTGATATATCAGCAATCATTCCATGTATTCCATCAGTGATTGCTGCTGATATATCAGCGTACAATGAACACTATCGAGTTTCCAGAGTATAGAGGTTTTGTTGAATCAAGAGAGTTACTCTGAAACAGGAACATAGTTCGAAGTGTGCACTTGTCAGTTTCGCAACGACATGAACCGCGCTCTGGGGACCTCATGCGGGTAAAACCGCATTTAAGTCGAAGTGCATTTATAGCGCCCGCCTCTCTGTTTGGTGGCCGACGGACGCCCGGTTGTGACGAGTCTGGGTCATGACACTGCTACTTCTCGTGAGATTAGGGTCCGGGCTGCAGACGACCGCCGGCGCCAGCCTCTTGCCCTCCCCACGCCTCACTCCTCCCCCATGCCGCCGACGCCGCCGACAACTGACGTACTGACTGACATCGCGCGCCTTACTCACCAAAAAAATAAAGCATTACAAAAAATTCTTTTCTCTCGTGTTTTCCTTTTTTAAATTCTCTCTCTCCATAATCGCCTCGAGGCACTGCCCGAGCCGGCCGGCTCATGGCATCCTCAAGGGGGCGCCTGGAGACGGGCTTCTCTGAGCTGCGCATGTCCTAACCTAACGTTAGACCTGTACTAAGAATTTTGCACCACGCCAAAAAATCCTTTCCTCGTCGTGTCATTTGAAATACCCGGGGCATCCGAGAAGAGAGATGTTTTCATGGTACCAGCACCCGCGTGGTGTTGGCCGCGGCACTGGTGGTCGTCTCATTTGCATATCGAAAAAGAGGACCAGCAGCAGCAGCAGCGCTCTGGATGCCTCGGGGCGTCGGCGAGAAGGGCGCCCCACGTTTCTCACTTGATCTTCCTCACCCATTCTCTTTTTTCCTTCTTTGCCCCTCTTCTCTCTCTCTCTCTAGTCGTCTCTCGGCCCTTTCCCAACTTCACAACAGTAAAATTTGCCGATTTCAACGCCAGGGAATGCCACTTGCTCTGCCATATAAGAAATGATCTGTTTGGGAAAGTCGGCCGCCTCGTGCTTCTGTTTAAAATATTGAACAACCTGAAAAAGATAGATTATGGAAAAGGCTTGGAGAACAGCCCTTTTTTTTGAGTGTCAAGCTCGGGCTGCTTCCTAGAGATATCATCACATGGAGCGGCAGTTAGAGAGAGGCGCAAGAGTATAGTGAAGAAACAGAGGGCGAAAAGGAAAGAAGAAAAGGAGATGAGCAGGGCGAGTCCTGGAGGCATTAAAGGTGTCCGTGGCAAGGCAAAGGGTCAGGACTAATCTGTTTTGGGCCATAAAAAGTGGCAAATCAAGAAGCGACCCGGTCGTTTTCCGGCGCCGCGCGAAGGCAAACGGGGGCGTATCGCTGGCCGGGCCGGCTCGCCTCCAGTCAAACACAACGCTCCGTGTCCGGGCCGGGCAGCGGCGGCGGCACTCTGCCTAGTGCGTCGGACGGCGGCCTTAAAGAGAGACTGCAACTCAGCATGACGGCGCAAGGTGGCCCGGGGGTGCCCATCCAGCGACACTATTGGCACTCACTGACCTAATGCACCGGCGACACTATTGGCACTCACACCCAAAAAAGGCACACCCAAGAAAGGCGGTTCCGAATCAAGTGCGCGGGGCTTGAGAGAATTCCATGGGCTGGATCCCGATCCCCGCGCACTTGATTCAGGAACTACTTTTTTTGGGTGCACTCACCTAATGCACCGGCAACACTATTGGCACTCACTGACCTCATGCACCGCGCGACTTTCGGCTGGCCGGGACCCGCGCAGCGCCATCGACAATGCGCATGCAAAGTGGGGAGTTATTGGCAGCTTCCACCACCGGCCTATTGGCATTCAGCGTGCCGGCAGTAGGCGGCCGGGAGGGGGCCTTTGCCTCGCTGTGCAAACAGAGCGCGGCGGGCGCGGAGGGTGCGACGAACAGCGGTCGGGGCGGCGGGCGCAACTCAAACGGGCCGCCGGGGCCGGGGGCCTTACCCCACTGTATGGGTCAACTACTCATCCCTCCACTTTGTGCTCTCTCTCTCTCTCTCTCTCTCTCTCTCTCTCTCTGCCGGTACCCTTCGAATGAACTCAAGTGCTTTTCGGGGAGTCAATTTGGCCCTAATGGGGCCCCAGCCCGGGCGGGGCGTCGGCGGCTCTGCCCGGCTGCGATGTGTGCTCTCCATTCGGCCATTGGACCGGGCCCGACCCGCCGGGTCCGTTTGTCCTTCCCCGTCGGTCGGCCGGGCCTTTGCCGCCCCGTACAAGGAGCGCTGGCACGGATAGAGAACATTGTATAAATAAGAAGAGGGCATCGCATCATTTGTGAGGCCGCGGCGGCGTATAATTTTCAGTTTGTAATTGGACGGGCGCCATTGTTGCGAGTCAATAACGCAAACTCACGTAGCATTGTGGGTCACAATGCTATCTGCTCTGGGCTGGGCCCCGCCGCCGCCGCCGCCGGGCCGCGCCGTGCGACTCCCGGGGGAAGAACACCTCTCTGGCTGGAGGACCTGCGGGACCCGGGCGAGCTTCGACGGGAACCGTCGGTCTGCTCGCCAACGAACGTCGGCGCGCCGTTGATCGTGCTCCGAAGGTTTGGACAAAAAACTTATTGAAAAGGGTGAGGGAACCCGGTCCGAGGATACATACATCCTGTTGGTTGCATCCTCCATCCCTTTCAAGCCGGGCACCCGTAATGCAATACCGCGCCATTGGCCGGCCCGTTCTCATCCCCCCCGGCTCCCACCGGGTCGCGCAACCCCTTCCGCAAAACAGGACGAGATAGAAATTCAGGTGAGCGGTTACCTAGCAACGGGATCCGGTCGTGGTGGGGACCGGCCCGCGGCGGCTGGGGATGCGCTCGGGGAGGAAGGAGCACGGGAGCCGCGGCCACGCCCACCGCCGGCCCACCCCGCCGCGCCGCCGCGCCGCGCCACGCCCTCGAGCCACGCCCCTCTTAGGCCGCGACTACATATAGCGAGGCGTGGTGGGTCGTGGCGGGGGGCCCCGGGCGCCAGCGCGATGAGCGCAGCGCTCGGCCCGGGCTCGGCGCCCCAGGCGCCCCCCGCCGCGCAGCGCGCGACAGAAGATGGCGGCGCTGCACGGACGGGCGCGCACGCGCCGCGGTTTTCCTTCGGTAAAAAACTGCATCAAACTGTCGCGGGGCCTCCGGTTGGGCGCCAGGGAGCCGCGGGTGAGCAGCGCGTTTACCGCTTACGGGCGCCCCCCGCGGGCACCGGCGGCACGCGAGCGGACGGACACGGGAGGATGCGATTTGCCGGTCAATTGACTCTGAAAATGACGTGATGAGTGAGGCGAGGTTGAACCAAATGACCGCATGCACGACGCGGCTAATTTCACTTTCCATGCGGTGCCGGCAGAGAAATATGAGCCCTCGTCAACCCGTCCGGCCGTCCGGCGCGGCGTAACTGCGGCCGCGGCCCCGCGCAGTTACAGCAGGAGTAGTGAGTCCGTTAGGTCAGAGAGCAGCAGCCCACCCCCAGGGGCTAGCGGGGCAGCCGAGGGCTGCAGGGCCGCGCAGCCCCGGCCTCGGGGGAGCCGTCAGTGATTGAGTACCGCATCCACCGCCAGCCGGCCACCGAAAAGCCTCGGGGGACCTTAAGAGAAACACACAGCTTCAAACGTCCAAACATTAATTTCCCGCCCGCTTCTTCTTTCTCGGGTCAGGTGGTGGTGGTGCCGTGCTCGAAGTGTACACAGCAAAAAGGTCAATTTCACGGGCTTGCTCGTCACGGTCCTAACGCCCGGCTGTTGTGTGTGTTTTGCGCGATTGCCCGCGCCGGATTGCCACTGTGCTCCCTTTTCATTACGGGGGGTTGAAAGGTCGCCCGATACACGCCGGTTTAGCTTGCCTTTCCACACCGAAACTGAGACACACACACACATGGCCGGTGTTTATTTCATCCGGTGCGAGCAGTGTACCTTGTCACGAAGTGAGATTGATCCGCAGGGGAGACGCTCCGTGCGGTGATACATGCAAACGGACGGCCATGCGACGTTTATGGGCACGATAAAAGTATGAATGGGGAAAATGGAAAAAAAGGGGGAGGAGTAGCAGGAGAAGTTCTGGACGCGAAAGTAAAAATTGTGTGTGTTGGGAGAGGGGGAGGGAGAGGGGTGTTGGGAGGGGATGATGCGGCAGTTAGGGGAGGGTATTAGGGAGTGATGACTGCCAAATGAGGGTGAGCCTCATCCATGGCTTTGTAGCGACCAGCGCCGCGTGTTTGACTGACGCGTTGGCGCGCTTCGCTGGATGTCAAAGCGCACGGCGCATTCTAATGCGGCGGCACCGAGCGCTGGGACAAAAAAAAATAGTACACGACGGGTGTGAAAAGTATACAGTAGTGTGCGCCGACTCTAACGTTCTCTGTACCTCTGTTGCAGGAGCACCCGGGCCTGAGAGGGACGCCGCTCGCCATGCTGGCCGCGCAGTGCAACAAGCTGTCCAGCAAGAGCCCACCGCCCCTGGCCGACGCGGCCGTCGGCAAGGGCTTCCACCCCTGGAAGAAGAGCCCCAGCGGGGGCAGTCAGCCGCAGCAGCAGTCCAACTCAACCCCCAACAACAATAACAACAACTCGACTAGCAACAACAATAATACTACCTCCAATAACAACAATAGTAGCAACAGCCAGCCCGTGTCCTCGTCAAGCGGGAGCACGACGCAGAACACGGCGTCCCAGAGGACCATGTCGTCGACGCCGTCCTCACAGGCCGGCACCGGCAGCTCGGCGTCCTACTCCAGCCGGCAAATGCCGACGCCAGCCTCGGCGTGTGGCACCGGCTACGGCGGCGACCTCTACTTCTCCGGGGCGGCGGCGACGGGCGGCCAGCAGGACGCGCTGTACTCGCGGCACCCCTACGAGTCGTGGCCCTTCAACGCGTCGCACCACGGCGCCATGAAGGCAGGCGACAACTCGACGTGGTGGGACGTCCACCAGGCGGCCGCGGCCGGCTCCTGGCTCGACATGTCGTCCGGGGCAGCCGTCCACGCGCAGATGGCGGGCTACGGGTCCGACTACTCGTCGCTGAGTCACTCGTTGGCGGCGGGCAACTCGCACCCCCTGGTCGGCCAGCACCTCCTGCAGGACTACAAGACCATGCAGTCGGCGTCCAGCTTCACCTCGCTGGGCCACCACGCCGCGGCAGCGGCGCACCACCACCCCACCTCGACGCCCACGCCGTCACCGGCGCCGTCATCGTCGACCCCAACGGCGTCCTCGCAGGCGTCGGCGGCGGCGTCACCCTCGCCGCGGTCGCAGCGGAGGTACACGGGCCGGGCGACGTGCGACTGTCCGAACTGCCAGGAGGCGGATCGGCTGGGCCCCGCCGGCATCCACCTCCGCAAGAGGAACATCCACTCGTGCCACATCCCCGGCTGCGGGAAAGTCTACGGCAAAACCTCGCACCTCAAGGCGCACCTGCGCTGGCACACGGGCGAGCGGCCCTTCGTTTGCAACTGGCTTTTTTGCGGCAAGCGCTTCACGCGGTCGGACGAGCTGCAGAGGCACCTTCGGACGCACACCGGCGAGAAGCGGTTCGCCTGCCCGGTCTGCAACAAGCGCTTCATGCGCAGCGACCACCTCGCCAAGCACGTCAAGACCCACAACGGGTCCGGGGACGGCGACGGGGACGGCTCCAAAAAAGGGAGTTCCGAGTCGTGTTCAGACTCGGAGGACAATTCGCAGTTGGAGATGGGAGGCGGCGTCAACTCGCCCGCCTCCCTAGGCCACGGGCACACCCACACACCGCCCCCCATGGGGCTGGGCGTGTCGGGGATGGAGGACGTGAAGCCGCAAGGGCTCGTCTGAAGCTCGTGGCCGCCGGCGCTGCCCTTCAGGTAGCCGCCGGCCTCTCCCCTGCCCCTGTCCTGTCCCCCCCGCCGCCCCCGCGAGCTGACCCCACTCCCCGTGGGGTCAGCAGTGGCGTCTGGCTGAGCGTGGCTGAGCAGAAAAGGAAAATTACTTCGCGCCAAGCCCTTGGCGCTGCTTGTTGCAGACCGGGCAGGCCAACCGCTTATCTCCGATTTGCGTCCGAACGTGTCTCCTCCGGACCACCCCCAGGTCAGCGGGGCCCCCTACGGGCCCCTGCGCACGGGGCTCCGGACCACCGGGCACCGCCAGGCCAAGTGTCGCTCTCTCCACTCTCTTTCTCTCTGTCCCTCTCTCTCGGCCCCGGGCCTCCTCCAGCGGGTGGTCCGCGAGACTGCACGCCGGCTTTCTAGTCTAACCCACGATGCTCCGACCGGCGGCAGGGAAGTGGAGGGTGCCTAGGAGAGGCTAGTGATGCTCTGGCTGGCGAGTCTAGTTGGCCCCGGCGTTTCGCTGAGCCAGAGCGATTCCGCTTCAAAGCCTAATGCTGCGGGTGTCTTGTCGCGGACGACTCCAGGAGCGAGTGTTCGAACCCACAAGATTAGGCTTTGCAGCAGAATCGCTCTGGCTCAGCGGCCAGGGCCGATGCTTTGGGGTGTTCGCCCCACCCCCTTCCCTGTCGAGTGCTGCGGACTGGCTTTGTTGAGTTTTGCACTCGGTTGTGATACCCGGCTAGTATTTATTCCTCGTCACGGCGCGTTTTCTTTTTTTCTCAGTCTTGCGGAACCAGCCCACCCTAGTCGCGGTGGCAGCAAGTAGTCTGTGATGCCCTCCTGACAACGCCATTCCCTGTATA